GTAGCTTTACGGCATGTAAAAGAACCTCATATCTCCAAAGGAGGTCACTGAGCCAAATTACGGACGTTTCCCGCCCAACAGCAGTCTCTAATACCTCTGGTAGATGGGGGAAGCATTATAGATACCTCTCAGCTAGTAGAGCCGGTCTCGCTGGCTGGGCGGGACTGATGGTAAGCACCAGTACCGGTACGATATAGAGACTGGTAGAAATCATAGGGGGAAGCACAGTGGACCAATACAGGTCTAAGTGCATGGGGAAACCCACCCTCTCCAATAACTAACTAACTAACTAACTAAGCCTAGAGGAAATGAGGAAAATCACGGGAACAAGGAAGAACTGCCATCAGGTCAGTTGGTCTCTGAAATTCAAAGCAAAATCTATGAAAAACAAAGCAGGACTGTCAACCACTTGACTGTAACATTTGGTGATTAAAATTCTGAATTATTATGGTAAAAAAAAAAAAATTCCCACCAGGAATCAAACCCCAGATGTCCTGTCAGCACTTCATCACTTTATTGACTAAGCTATCATAAAAAATGGTCACAATATTTCCAATATATTTCTATAAGAGATATGAAAGCTAATCTTGTTCAAGACATATAATAGTATTTAAAACACAAAAATAATTTTAAAAAATATGTATTCTACTGTATTCCTAAGATTAAAATCTCGTGAAAGAACATTCATACCTCTGGCAGTCTATCCAAATCTCCCTCTTCAAGCTCAGCTGTAACACAGTTGTACATGTTCCACAACCAGGTGGCGTTGAATCGGAGGGCAAAGCACGCTGCCAGGTTGGGGAACAACTTATACTGCTGTGTGAGATAGTCAATAATCTGTGGTTCTGGTTCACTGAAAAAGACACACGTTACAGATACTATTATGACTATGGCTCATAATTTTTCTACAAGGAAAGTAAACACTGCAGTCATATAAATGAGGCCATATGACTATAAGGTCCCTTCCAAGTAGATAGCACCATGCTCTACACACACACTGTTACTCCCATTATGAAATATGTATCTGTTCATGGCCCCTTCCATTCCATAGCACGATGTTCCACTTCCCCAATATTAATCCCAGTGTGAGGTCTACACACTAGACCACATCCTTCTCCTGCTTCATTCGCCTTGAAGATAGTGACTGCAAGGTATGCCAAATGTTGCTGTCCTAGCTTCAACATACCATGCAGCTAAAGCTAAACCCAACCGTACTTTGGGAACAACACAGTGCTGCAAGAATATTTGGACCTAAGGGGCAAAAGAGCTTTAAAATCTACAAAATATACCCAAAAAACTCTGTGGCTTTAGTGCGCAAGCGAACTATATCAACTGAGTGACTGCCGCTTGTTGGAGAAGTTAAACGGCTGTGGGGATTTGTTGCGCCGACCACGCAACACCCTCTACCCACTAAAGTTGGCACAAAATATACCTAGGGTTATAAAATTAGTAGGGATAAGATAAGTAAGCACCTAGCATGCACATGGAACTTTCATCCAAATACTAGAAGGGAAATGTAGGCATGGATGGAAGGATACTATTGACATGACGGATAGGCAATGGATCTTTAAGCACCTCTTCATGGCAATGAATCCACATGGAACAATAGAGGAACTGTTGAGCTACTGCCAGATAATGTGATTTCTATGTGGTCCATGCCAAGGCTATATAACAGGGACTGACACCAATGGGTAGTCAGTCATGGCCAGCAGTCAAGAGTTAGTTTCAAGATGGTAATCAGCCTTCAATGACTGAAGGCATGAAAGCGGGAGAATCTCCCTGTTACAAGCCATTACCAAGCAGCCCCTACTGAAGATTGAGAAAACTTTATTTCTGCTGTGGTTACAGTGATCTTTGGGTTGGATCCCGGGTCTGGTCAAGTGGGATTTGTGGTGGACAAAGTGGCGCTGGGGCAGGTTTTCTCCGAGTACTTCGGTTTCCCCTGCCAATCTTCATTCCACCAATTGCTCCATGATCACCCTCACCTATCATCTGGGCTGGTACAATAGGCCAGAAGTGGCCGCAGTATAAGGGACTTAGTCCCACCCCACTAACAATAAAAAATAAAAAAAAATAAAATTACAGTGATCTTTGGAGTGTGTATATTAGTGAAACTGTTATAGCTACTTGAACTTATGAGTTACAAACGTTCAGTTTCTCCAGTTATCTATCCAAACCCTGTGTTTAGTCATTAACATGTGAAAGTATTACAATAGATTTTAAAGAAACAAGAGTGTGAGGACGCAGACTGGATTAAACTGGCTGAGGTTAGGATTCAGTGATGGGCGCTTGTGAGCATAGTAATGAATGTATGGTTTCAATGGAAGATTGGACATTTCCTGAACAGTTGCTCAAGGACTCTGCTCGAAAGAATTAATTAACAGAGCACAAAAAGTATGATTACTATTTCATGGTTACTGTTAGTATCACCATACAGATTCCAACATTTGCAGAAAAGTAGTTCCAGATCAGAATTGCATGTTTACCAGATGTCGTGGTATAATTATTATAACTTGTGCTTCATATTGAAGAATTACCAAATCAAATCTCAGAAAGTGTCAGCTGTCCTAACATTTTCATTGTCATTGTGCATTTGCACGAACATACTGTGCTGGTTTGAGAAATGTGTCACTATGCATTAAGATTACAGTCTTCTGAGATCTGATGCCTTGTAGGGAAGACCATGGAGATGGAGGCAGTAGTCCTCAAAGCAATGGTACACACCTACACAACTACACAGTGTCACATTCCAGAAGACTATAATGTTAATACTCAACCACCATGTGAACCTCATATCTCATATCTGTTTACACAGTTCACACGATATAAATGACAGTCACAGCAATGTTATCATGCTCTGACTCACCCTGGCTTCAGTTCAGACTGTCTCCGCACTGCACTATACCGAACTGCTATCGTAGTAGCTTTAGAGAGGTAACCAGCCATATCTTGAAGAATAATGACTCTTACAAACATCATGGTTCCATATGTGAGTTTATCACTTGGAGACTTTACATAGGTTCCATCCTGAAAAATAAATTAGAGCACCTGACTGAAACAAGCCACTGAACCGAGTTCAGACATATAGAAAACACCCACTTGATTATTTATCAGTCAATAAACAGTTGGAACCAGCAGCTATTTCATGCAGATTACCTCCAAGCAGTAAAATTCTGGAGTATATTGTTCCAGAAATACAGTAACTCAAAATGAAGTGTCTCCAGAGCAGAAAAGAACTGAAACTCCTCAAAAGGTCTGCAGCAATGGGAGATTTTTTGTATGAACATTATGCTGGGCATGGTTCAATGTCTGGGATATTTCCAACACAATGTTTCAAAAATAGGATCCGTTTCCATTTTGATGTGTAAGGGGGAGAGTATCATTAATTTTATTTATCGGTTATTAAACAGTTAAGAACACTATTTTGTCTGCTGCGATTTTGATTTTCTTCTAACATTGAATGTGAAGGGGTAAAATATTTTCATTTTCATGAATAAATTCTTCATTGTCCACCAAAGACTGTCAGAATGTATGTTGTGCTGAAATATTAATTATATTATGACTTTAAATTGACTTAAATCTAAGCTCTGTATGCACATGACACAAAGATAATAGATTTATCTCTTGTAAGTAGTATGTGTATTTATGTGTACTTAATACCTGCATAATTGGCACTATTCTTTCATTTTCCATGTAACTGCACTCCTTACCTCCAGAACCTGAGCATTCTTCATGAGCATGTGTTCACGGGGGATACGGACATTGTCAAAACCTAGGTATCCATTATTTGTTGCATTCATGCCTAGTTTTGTGCCAATTTCACCAATTTTAATACCTGAAAGAGGAAGAAATAAGAGAGATATTAATGACATTTGAAGTAAATCACATAAAGGAAAGAATAATGATGTTTCTTTCTTCACAAAAGCCACATACAACTGTCCAACTATGACAGAGGGTCTGAAGTTGTTTCAGGTTGCCCTGACCTCCTTAAGAGAACCTCATCCCATGGATGCACCATTCAAACTGCAAGTCTGATTACATACAAATGCCATGATATTGGATCTTCTTCAGCAGTTAATATTAATCAGCAGGTTAAGATACTCTCTGCTTCTTGATAAAATCTGATAATTCATCAAAATATTCACAAAATCCATCACTTGATCCTACAATGAGCCACCTCAACTGAGTCCACATTTCCACGTCCTCCTAATTTAACATGCATTTTAATATTTTTCTCCTATTTGTGCCTAGATCAACCACGATATTGCTTCTGTTCAGGTATTCCAACCACAGTTTTGTATGCATCTCTCATTAACTTATCAAAGCTCTATCTCATTATTCACCGACCAATTATTGTATTGTTAAATGCAGACAAAACATCAGATTCTGAAAATAAATTAAATAACTTATCTCTGTTAAAATTATGTGTGAAACAGTATACACATAAATTTTGTTATGTTACAGAGGGTACATAATTTAAGTAACTTCCATGATCAATCCTAGCTCCCTATAACATCCTTCATGAAAAGAATGAACATCTGGAAACTAAAACTAAATTCCTGGAGCAGAGGAATCTTTCTTGAGAAACAGTCGCTCAGCTAATCAAGAAATTCTCGGTATTTTTTGGAACCTAGACGTTTATTACTGTGTTCACATGACCAATCATGTTTCTGAGACACAGCTGTCACATCTGCATGTATTTATATACATGTTCAAAGCTGTTATATTATGTTATACAACAGGGAGAAGAGAAGAGTTCACTTGATTAAATTGCTAAAAGGTACCTACTCTTCACTCAGAGTTTCTTAAATTAAACTGTATTCAAAAACAATGATTTTCACTTAGCAATAACTGCTCACTGAATAAACTTCATTACTTACAATACTACCACTGCATAAAAAACACACCATCATCTAAACAACATACGGAAGTGGGAAGGGCAAAACAAGAAAAAGCACTAAACTGCTCTTACTTTCACTACCTAAAAATCTAAGAGGAAAAGATTATAAAACTGAAGAAGAGACCAGGACCCAACAAAGGACTGTAAAGCCAGTGACGAAATGAATGAATGAGATTCTAAGGAGACTGTAAATTATACAGTGCAGATTTAACATGTGCAATCAGAAGAAGCAATTATAAATGAAATAATTACAACTACAGTAAACAATTTCCATATAATAAACATTAAAATCTTATGAAGCTGTTCACTGTTAGCTGATACTTATTCAGACTGCTTCAAAGTCAAAACTACAGATCTGTGCTGCATGAATAAACACTCAACATTAACCCTTCACTAAGCATTGTAATTTCACACACTAAAAGAAAGCGTGCACGCACGTGTGTGCAATTTCTGATTCGTTGAGTGTTCTCTTCACTTGTGTGTGGACAACCAATTCTCTTCTGATCAACAACACTTCCAGTTTCTATAAATTTCTTATGCCATGCCCTAATTCTGTTACAGGATGGTGGGTTCCTTCTGGAATGTGTACAGAAATTTCATTGCACTTGGAAGCCTGATTTTGTTTCAGGGAACCAACCAACACACATAACCTTCCTCTGTGAAGATGACATTTTAATTTTTGTCCCCTAATGCTTGGCATGCTTCATGCTACAGGCATCTAGTAGTAGTATGAAAAATTTCCGGCCAACCTAACAAAACAAATAACTTATTTTTAGTTCTGCAATATGATTTCTAATTATACCTTTCTGTGTTACATTAAAACAGGTTATAACATAAATGTAAATATCATTCCAAAACAATAGTTCATTATAATAATGCTATCAGTTAGACACTGAGTGTACTACAACTTCTGCTTAAGAAAAAAATCATAAATATTATAAACAACTGGCTTTTATGTACAAGATGTGGTTTCCCCAATCAACAGAAAATTTCCTCCTGGATATTCAGTGAAAATAACTTGATTCATGAATGCAAATACCTGGCATAGGTTTGTGTGTCTCCTCATCCCGAAGTTGAACAATGAAAGGGTGGATGCCATGGCAGACACCTTTGGTATGGAGCTGTGCAACAACCACAGCAAAATTTGCTGTTTGGCCCACTATAAGAATAAATAACAAGCAGTTATAAGAATGAAATTAAGAGTTACATGCATGTAGTTTAAGAGTCCTACTTTCTGAGATGTGACACCATGTAGTTTTTTTGTGCACATGTGCATGTGTGTGTGTGTGTGTGGGGGGGGGGGCACACACATGAGTATAAAGGCATGTGAGCAGCTATGGCTGTTAAAACATCCTTTACTAAACCCCATATTTAATAGTATAGAATCAAACACTTGTCAAACCATGTGATGGTCTCCCAAGAGTACGTTAAGAAAAAAAAAAAAACTATAGTAAATATTTGGTTAAAATTGATTGTAGAGCAGGCTGTATAAGGATCAACTAGACCATAATAAATAAATAAAAGTGAGTACCAAATTCTTTAAAGCAGAAAAAAATAAGGGAGAGTACATTCAATAAACTCATTCAGACTTTTAAACTCGGGGGGAGTATATGGGCCAATGTCTATTTACAATAGTAAAGGTAAGATGACAGAAGCAGAGAATTAAAATGATCAGTTAAATATCTGTCCACCCCTATACCATGAAAAAATGCCACTACTGAGACACTTTATGGTGATATCCCACAATCTGCTATAAAGATGGAATGTTTGGTATTCTGCATCACAACATGGGCACTCCTGTGGGATGTACGGACTCCGCCCACACTGGTTACAAGGAGGTACCAGGTCATCTATTAACAAATGGCTGGGCAGAGGACGACTATGAATAATATGAAAGGATAAGACAATAATCTCCTCAACCCAGACTGAGCTGTGGCATGAAAGCCACACCTGTACATATGCTTTCACCACTTATAGTTTTCTGCCCACTATCTGTGCCACTTCATCTTATCATAATGACAGAAGAGCATGATGAAAAAAAAGCACAAACATCACTCCTCCTTACAGCTTAGTCTGATGTTAAATTCCTGAAAAAAAAAAAAAAAAAACGGCTTATTTAGCAGCTGCAGGCCTAACTTGTCTGAGGGACTGAGAACCATGAAAAAACCTCAGTCAGGATAGATGATGTCCTGACAGAGATTCAAAGTATCCTCTCCCGAATATAAGTTTGAAGTTTTAAGCTCTGTAGAAATCAAAGTTCAAAAGATGAAGAGAGCATTAATTCACACAGACATCTGTGTTCTTAACTACAACATATATCTCACAATTTGTTACAATGAAGAAGCAGGAAATGAGGGGAGAAAAACTCCCAAAAAGAGCAGCTTCAAAAGAAGAAGAAATGAACATGTAAATAGAGGAATAAATAAGAAATGAATACATAAAATAAGTCAGAAAAAATGGAGAGAGGTACAAAAGAAGGAAAACAAAAGGATGAAAGAAAGATGTAAGGCAGAAGAAAAAAAGAGAAGGAACGGAACAGCAAGATTAAGTCCTGCACAAAATTTTGGATTTCAAATATCCAGTTCATAATTACATATATGAGACCTAAGAAATACAACTGGCACCACTGGCAAGTTGGCACATGTTGGGTCATGTCGATTCAGAGGTCAGAATAGCTGGTAACCTAAATCAGATTTCAACCAGATACTTCCAATACACATCTACAGCATTACCAATTCAACAAATGTAGCTCCTCAATTATAATCACGACGCTGAGTGGACCCCGTTCCAGACCCACTACTTCTCCAAAAAAATCTGGTAGCGACGGGAATTGAACCCGGACCTCTGGATCTGTAGCCACGAACGCTGACCACTGGACCACAGAGGCGGTCAAAATAAAAAGGTGAAGGTAAGAAAAATAAAGCTATCCCTGTAACAGGCTGTGGAGGCCCATAGGGCTGTGAGAAGTCGAGGCTCCCACATTTTCTACAAAATCAGCTCACAGATGGCAGCAACTTTGTCAGCCTTACGTGCTGGCCACCCTTTACCCCCAGGAAGATTCCTGATACTCATGTCTATTACAGGCTGAGTCAACCACAGGGCCATAGTGCAGCTGGAAGGATTAGGTTAATTGAAAATTCCAATGATGTCACCAAGAATCAAACCCATGACCTTCCTACCTGTAAAACAGTGCATCAACCAACTAAGCTACTGCATGCCCCCAACCCCATAGAAGTTTATTTTATTTTTAGTGGAAATAAAATAAATATACTAAAGATAATTTAATTTAAAACCTAAAACCATTCATCTATTTGCTCATCCTGGGCTATTTTTGGAGTACCTTAACCCCTGATCTCACCAAATTCATGTCTCAAAGAGAAAAAAAATCTTGATATGAACCCTGATTTTTCAATTTTGAATGACAATAATTTTCAAACAGTTGCCTTTGCCTTGCACAGTAGCAGAAGATACCTGATCCATCAAAATTTCAATGGTTGGCAATGCTAGCATAATTCAACCTGTCAAAATCTCTCTCCCTCCCCCTTCTGTCCAAGGTGACAAAGGATGTGATGATCCTAAATTTTAATTTTCTTTTAACAATGATTCATGAAAAATTTTCACTGAAAAAGAATCTTAAAAAATGGTTAATGTTAAAAATTTTGACTACACAGAGTAGAAAATCTATTTTTATTTCCATTCAAAAATTCTTTCAAATTCTCATCTTGAACAGGAAAAATCATCCTGGTTGCATGTTTACTTTATGTACATATAGAAGGTAAAGCTGCCCCTGTAACAGGCTGTGAAGAACCATAGGGGTGTGAGAGGTTGAGGCTCCCACATCTTCTAGACACAGACAACAGTAAAGTTGGTAGCCTTACATGCCGCACCACCCTTTACCCCCAGGAATGTTAGTGGTACTCATTTCTGTTACAGGCTGAGTCAACCCAAGGCTCCTACTGCACATGGAAGGATTAGGTAAAGTGAAAAAATTCAATGGCCTCATCGGGAATCAAACCTGCAATCTACCAGCTTGTAGCATACGGCCTCAACCAACTATGCTACCGCATGCCCCCTTTTATACATATAATGAACCGTTTTCTAATCTGAATAGCAGGCAGTAACATTGCAGAAACCCTAAGACAGGGAAATGATAGCAACAAGTACCTACAGAAGTTGATTGGACATGATTTTAATCAAGGTTTTTGAGGTTTTTAGAGCAGTGAGTATCATGATCAGTCTTCTGGATTGTGATGTCCTGCATTCTGGTCACTGTACTAGGTTTACTGTAAACTTACTTCTAAATCAACTTCCTTACTACAATAGTGCTTTTGTTTTATCCTTTATGGTATTTGCTTCCACATAATTAATTATCATCACAGACCACACACTAATGTCTTCCATTCAACCCCAACCCTCAAGTTCCTGAACCTTCTCAATGGTGTACTCTAAAGCAAAGCTGAAAAGTAATGATTAAAATATACCTCCTTGTTTCAGACCACTCTGAATAGAAAGTAAATTGCACAGAATTAAAGACTATGCCAAAAAAACACTGCTCCAAGTGCAATGCATGTCACCTCTGGTTACCGACTGACTGCATTACTTCTGCATCCAAACAGCTGTTCACATGTTACTCTGATTTCACCAAATTTTATTAGTTCCTCTTCTTCTACCTTAGACTGTTTTTCTTTATGTTTTTTTTTTTATGATGTCAGTATCTCAGGCTATACATAGAATGGTATGACTAGTGAATAATGAACCTGAAAGGATTTGGATGAAATTGGTCATGGCCTAATTCCAATATTATCCTAGCCTTTCCATGAAGGATCTGAGGAAAACCAAGATTAATCTCTCCGTTTTCTTAGTCTATGCATAAACAGCATAATAGAAATGCATCATCTGGTGGTCATACCTGTCTGTTCTGTGCCTGCCTGTGTGCATGTTTCATCTCACAAACAACTCAGTGGATCACATTTGGCATTGAAGGGTCTACACTGAAAGATGGCAGATGAACTTAATTTTAGTCTGTACCTGTATACAATAATTAATGAGAGGGCCAACGACAATGGTAGTACACATCAGGGACAGTCCATAATTTCAGCAAGGAACCGCACCATAGCTCAAGCGGTTAGTCACTGGCTTCCCACCGCGGTGGGCCGGGTTCGATCCTGGGTCTGGTCAAGTGGGATTTGTGGTGGATAAAGTGGCACTGGGGCAGGTTTTCTCAGAGTACTTCGGTTTCCCCTGCCAAACTTAATTCCACCAATTCCTCCAAAATCACCCTCACCTATCATCTGGGGCTGGTACAATAGGCCAGAAGTGACTGCAGTACAAGGGACCCCACTAGCATTATTAAAAAAAAAAAAAAAAGCAAGACTCGTATAACAGATTGTGAAACAACTGTAAATACTTGTAAACAATGTAATTATTTGTAAATAAGGTAATTCAGTTATTAATATATCCAACTATTAATCTAAATCACATAAATAGTTGCTACTATGTGACAAATGGTGTCAGAATACAAATATTGTGGTGTATGCACCCATTACTATGGGGAGACTCTGTAAACAATGACAGTTTCTGGGCAACGGCTTGGTAAACACGTTCTGCGGCGACAAAGATGTAAGCAAAAGCAGAGTAACTGTTGGAAACGGGGAGTTTTCTATGTGGTCCATGCCCAGATGTTATCACCAGGACAATTGGAGCAATGAGTTCAGTTGTGAGTAGTGTTAGCCAGCGAGCAAAGGCATGAACACAGAAGCTGAAAGATCTCACTGTTGGAAGCTGTTAGCAAGCAACAACTAGCGAAAACTATAAAAGACTGAGGCTGCGTGTGATGCAGTGATTTGTGAAGTGTGTAGATCAGCGAGTGCTGTAATTCCCTGTACTTCCAAGTCAATAAATTGAGTCACCAATCCACACCCCCTCTATAGTCACACCCCTATATGTGACAATATGCTATTATAAATGGAACAGATTAACAAATACTCACATCCACCCGGCCACCACTTGTAGGATGTTAAAGTGGGGCTGTTGAGAATGAACTCCTGTGTTTTAGGATCATAATGTGCTGTTGTCTCCAAACCTCTGATGAATGTCCCATGCCCAAGTTCTGTCTGAAAATGAACAACAAGACTTCTAAAATGATTGCCTCTGCTGGGTTCTTGCTTGGCCTAATTTTTGACCTTAAGGTAAAACTTAAATCTTCTTCTAAAACACTGGGTTGTTACTACATGGCGTTAAAACCAAGATGGCAACACTCTCTGAGTGCTTACATATTTATTCCTGCTCCATATTTCCATTTATTCATAAATGGAACTCCCAATGTTCACAAAAACCTGAATCTCAAAACCTGGATAGGTCAACAGTCCTACAGCTGGTAACTTTCAGAGGATTCTGAAATGTTTTTCAAGATTATGCACCCTGCAGTATGTTCCTGTAACATCTTGGTAAGAACATACTTTAACTGGTCATGGACGGATGACAGAAAGGATGAAAAGAGATGAGTGAATGTGGAAAATATAAACTGAGATATTACAGGAAGGAAGAAAAGTATAAGACTATGGTTCAAAACAAGAAAGAGGTTGGTGTGAAATGGCCACCAGCCTATGAGTTAGTGAGCTGAAGCACTGAGAGAACTGTAAGGGAGTCTGTGACAGGAAGACTTAGTCAGTGCACTTAGCACAGAAGCTGAAGAATCTCCACTGTTAAAATCCGTTACCAGGAAATGTCTAGTGAATACAGAAAGGCTTTATGTGTGCTGTAGTTACAGTAATTTTTGGAGTGTGTAACTTTGTGAGACTGTTACAGTTACTTGTAGTTATGATCCATAAGTGGTCAGTACACACAATATTACTGCAAACAATAAACCACTATGATGTACAGTGTACTGTATAGAGAATGAGCATACACAATGTATATCCAAATGCAGCGTTGCCATTAATACCTGCTGAGAAGCACTGCACAGGGACCTTCCTTGCTAGCAAAAGAGCAGTACAAAATCTTCCAGAATTTTAGGGGAAAACAAAGGAAATTACTAGAAAATTTTCAAATTGGCAGATACTCAAATCAGAATATATCAAACTGTCATACAGCCAGGGCCCACTGTATTTTGTCTTTTCTATTATTCATGTCATCCAAATTCCACAAAACCTTCACAGATCACATACTACATGTTTTGCAGGATCAAAATATATGTAACTGAATGTACATTCACAAAATGTTTTTGTTTCTTCAATCAAAAACGTCCAACCTAGCTTCCGTTAAGACAACCGCAGGCTTAAAACAGCATTTAAATGTCAAACAGTAAATGTGCTAAGGAACGGGAATCAATAAATATTCAGATGTACAACTCACATACCTTCTAGATATAAGAAATTCCAAATTCAGATATCTGCCATGACATAACAGCTTCACACATATTTACAACGTTTCACTATTAATCAAAATTCCTTACTTGAGCATATGTTCCAATAATGTCACAGTTCCAAGCTTTCCCCATCCATTCAGCTTGCTGTTCCACTGTTCCCTGTCCAACAATTGTTGGAAGAAACATGACATAGTGAAGGGTAAATGGGTTTCCATCCTTGAGAATGGCACTACCCAGCATGCCACTCAATGTCTGTCTGAAATACAGTAAATCAAAATATTACTTGTTACCAGCAGATCAGTCTGAGGCACAAAAGAATTTTTAGAACTGAATGCACAGTTGTGTGGCTCAGGATACAATCCATTTCTCATAACATCATAACACCTGCATGTTTGAAATCTAAAAGAGCAGGGGAAGGGAGCTTATAATTTAATATTCTTATATTAGCTTCAAATTTTTATTTTTCAAAGAACCATCACTTCCTACAAAGTTATTCTTTGTAAGACCTGAGATTATCACAGCAGTGAAAATTTAGAATGTGGTCTTTCAAGTTATAAAATCATGTAGTCTCAAAGGCGATTACCAACATTTCAATAGAGGCAGCATGTTCCTCCAGAATGCTGGTAACCCCCACAACATTATACAATGTTACTACACAAAAAATAACATTTTAAATTACTTATTTTTCATTACATGTAACTGAAAGCTATGACAAGCTGAGCTACCTAACCCTCTGTGGGGTTTTATGTAGTTTTGTCATTACTCTGATGATAACCCACTTCTTTGGAACAGTTTGTTGGTCCTGAAAAGGACCGTGGTTGCTGATATGTTTGATCGGTGAGGTAGCGCGGCGCACGCCGGTAGGGAGAGAGGTTAGTTGCGGTGATTTGCCTGGCCACAGTGCGGCTGTTGCTGGAGGTTGCTTGATCACCGTGCGGCAGGTGAGTTGAAGTTGCATGGTTGCGCAGCGCGGTCGTAGGAGTGATGAGGCAGTGGCTACGCCAGATGCCCAGTGAGTCGGACACGAACACGACCACTGGCGAGTCCAGGCGAGGTGCCCCAGTGAGTCGGGTGTGAGAGCCAGAGGGCCGAGGCAGTCGTGCCTGGCGCAGCCTGCCGATGCCTCCGAAGACCGAGCGCTGGCGACAAAGCCTGCTGGCTGAAGTTGCTTGATGCGGCTAGCTCGTAGGCTGATGATGAACTGAATAACTCGGCTCTGGAGTCGCTCCTTTTTATACGCTGGTCGGTGGGGCGGAGCCAAACTCGAAAGTGAGGAGGAAGAATTTGCAGGGCGCTGATTGGCTAGCGCATGTGATGATGTAGATGCGGGGCTAGCAGCGAGCGCAGTATAAATGTGAACGTTTGGAGCAATTTAATTGGTTAGCGCGTGTGATGGTGAAAAGTGATGCGAAGAGTGTGTGTTGCAGAAAATGCGTGATAATGTGGGATGTTCCCACACCTCTTACAAATGATATCTACTTCTCCTACCACAACCTATTAGAACCAAGTCCTTCAGCAGAGAATTAATATCTCCAGGAACTCTACATGCATATATTTCTGTTTTATTTCTAAGTACTAAAACAAGGTGCTTACATCTCCCACAGATGTTAGGTTATGAATATTTGCACCACATTTACCACAGTCATAAAACAAGGGCATTTTCATAATTTACCATCCTATGATCATGAGCAAGCAACTTAATGAACTTCACTAGGATGATTGCCTAGAGCATCAGCACTCTGGAACATTCACTGCGTTTAGTAAATGTGCACACTGTACCTCATAGTGTGAGCAGTGTAGACAGTTCAATGGAATACAATTATACTGAACCTTTAACACACAATAACGGTGCATATACATTCTTTAATATCCCTGTTGTTTGTGTACTGTTGTCCACAATTATGCTTCAAGCACAGGTGATCAGAAAAATATGAGGGCTACTTTGAAGGAAACTTCCATTTATTTTAGGCAACTTATGTAGGAGTGGGGCAGAGCTCATGCATGCAAGGTAGCATCACACGACTCACTGCCTTGTAAACCACCACATAACTGGCCACCTAGTGTTTCTTCTTGGTTCTACAGAGTGAGTTATGATGTGTCTTGCAATTGATAATCCTGCCAGTTGCAAAATTTGTGCAGTTATCAGCTATCTTCATGTTAAAAACATGAGTGATGTGGAAATCCATGGTGAATTATGTGCAGTTTATGGCCAAATGTAATGAGTGGAGGAACTTAAGAAAATGGTGTAGATCGTTCAAAGATGGGTGAAAACATGTACATGATGAGGAGTGAAGCAACTGTCAGGAACAGACCAACCTACTTTAATGGGTTCAGGGCTGAAGTTAGTAAAGGCCAAACATGCTTGGCTAGGTAACAGGATTGGGCCAAGGAGAAAAGAATTGGCCAGTCACAGACAGGGAGTGTGTAAGGGGAAAGAGATCTTTGTTTAGGTGAATGGGAAACAGGGAACAGGAAAGGTCCTTATCAAGGCTTGTGCACTGCAGGGCTGAATGAAGTACAAATATGTGCCTTTTTGAAGAAAACAGTCTTCCGGGATGTGGTGCTGTGTAGATATTGTGTTAACTGATGTTTCGGAGGAATGTACTGCCTCCATCTTCAGGGTAGAATACAAAAATATGGATGTGATATGTTCGTCCAAAACGTCAGTTAACATAATATGTAGATGGCGCCACATCTCAGAAGACTGCTTTCTTCATAGTCACTGCCGTGAAAACCTCAAATCTTAAATGTGCCTTTTTCTTCACAAGAATATTTATTTGTTCCTTCAGGGTGTGAACAAGAGGGTTGCAATTACCTACTTTATCTGATCGTGCTGTTTTCCCCTTCCCCCCCCCAAAAAAAAAACACAAATGCATGGACGAGCTCAAGCTCCATATTAACAACATGAACAGGGAAGATGATTCCTTCTTGAGCAGTTCATGGAAACAGTACACATACAGTTAATGAAAACGGCCCTTCCTGTACCCCATTTTCCATTGGCCCATGCAGGGCCATGATTTCCTCTCCCTCATGCCCTCTCTGATTACCTCATTTTCACATTCCCCTCTTCCCACAACTCCAACTTCCCTGTACAAGTTATGCACATCCCAACTTCCACCCTGAAGTTGAAGGCAGCGGAGTCCTCTGAAACATCAGTAACCACCTACGGGACTATATGGTGTCAAGATAAAGAAAACCAGAATCTAAATAAAATATCTTTTCTTCATGTAATATTAACTGGAATAATTCAGCCCAAAATGTTCTTACCTGAATATTTCCAAATCACCTCCTTTATCTCGCAGCTGTGTGACTTTTCTGAACAATGTACATGCTTTTCTCACAGCCTCCTCATATTTCTCCTTGTGGCTCAAATAATCCTGAGGTATTGTATCCCTAAGTTCTGGCTCAGATAGGAAGTAATATTCTAAAAAAGCAAAAATGAAATAAAATTGCATACTTCTACTTGAATAACAATATATATTTTCACTGTTTATATTTGTACTGCAATATGAAGTTCTTTTTCCATCAAACATTGATTCTCATACTATTAATACTAGACAAAGACAAGATTTGTATTTACCTCAAGCTAATTTAACTATTTATCAAAAAGGAGTTTATTATGCGGGTATAAAAATATTCAGTAAATTGTCCATAGAGGTCAAGACCACATCCAATAATTTTAAAAAGTTTAAGGTTGTGTTAAGGCATTTCTTGAACACTCATACGTTTTTTACTGTGGACGAATATCTAAACAGATAATTTTTATTATTGTTGTATTCATTGTATTGCCTAGTTGTGTAATATTTATGTATGTGTTCTGTGCTTTATGTTATTTTATGGCATGTTCTATATCCATCTTTGGATCTCTTGAACTTACAATAAATACAAATACAAATAAATAACATTCTATTTAATCAAGATAACTGATCATTTCATAAATATGAATTTGTCATAATCATCATCACCATCATCCCCTCCATTATTTGGCCTATTGATACATGTTACAAATATTACAAAACAGAATTTTTCCATCATTTCAGAGGTCTCCACAAACTTCTTTTTTTTTTTTAAGAAAGTCGTCTTCTGGGTTTAGGCGCCGTGTATAATTCGTTTTGGCCGACGTTTCGGCCGAACGTATCGCCATTCAACTGCTCTGAAGATGGAGGCGATACGTTCCTCCGAAACGTCGGCCAAAACGAAGAATACACGGCGCCTAAACCCAGAAGACGACTTTCTTAAAAAAAAAAANGAACTGGATGGAGGTAAGTAGTCGGTTTCAAACCATTACTCTACTCCAGAAGAAAGAGGCCCAGGTATGTAATGATTAGGGCCAGATAAGACCTATTATGACAAAGAGCAAAATCTGTTCCCTGGTGTTCCCCCTTTGACAAGCCAATATGCAGTCACTATACTGACTGAGCTAACAGAATAATACTGGGACACAGCCAAGGCAGTGACTATTCTGAGACTTTTCCTGGTTTTCCTCAGTCCTTCCAGTAAAACGCTCATGAATACTTCATACCACACCCTTTCCACTTTATTCAATAACCATCACTCCAACTGACACTATATAATTTCAGCTTCTGTCACAGTTGTTAAACACACCAAAAATCAACAAACAAATCTTTGCTATGGAAAGGGAAGGGTCGAGGGAAGTAATCTGATGGCCAAGTTCAGGCACAGTATAATGTAACCCTGAAAGCCGTGGTGTAACAGACCGCAATGAAGGACAGCTAGACATTCCATTATACAGAGAAAGTTTGCATGGACTGATGGGGTAAGAATATTTGGAAGTGAGGGGTAGAATATGGTATGTAATTCAACCCGCTACACATTGTGAGCGACCAACCTGTACAGGATATGAAAAATGGAAATTTGTACAGGCATAAATTAAAAATCTTGCCAATTATACATCTTGTTCACGCACTTAGGACATTTTTTTTTCAATATGATAATTTTACCAAGAGTCGTACTTTTCCCTTATTTTACACACTTCCATTTATTTTATATTCCAACTCTTTCGCATTTAGAAATATGTCCCACTTACCTCGTTCTTTTCTTTCCCTTGTCTTCTCGGGACCGCCATCTAAAAGATGTGTCAATTCTAAAGGATCGAACGAACACTTCTTTCTTTCCCTTTCGATGTCCTCATTGCATTTTATATTATCTGCCTTCTTTAGTACCATATTTTCTTTCAGAAAACGTTTGTAGCAGTAATGTATGCTGTTTCGTACGTAACGACTAAACGAATATTACGCTATTTCTGTCACTGTACTAGATACTGTCATATAAACTATGCAGTAATGACCTTTGTACTGCTCTGCTATAAACGTGGGGAATCATACAGATAATAATCAACTTACAACCGCTTGTCTTCTGTCAAAGCCAGAAGCGTTATTTGAGGCGCGGACAGTTAACACATAATCCACAGCTGCAGCCCGCATAGTACAAACCAGACAACACAAAACAAGTTCAATACAAACAGTGCCCGAAGTCATAGTCCTGAGCTGAGTGGGTCCTAAGGTTCAAGACTATCGGTGCTACCAACCTTTACACCATAAATACACTAGCAATGAGTTGCATTATACAGTTTTAGACATAATTTTTCCTGTAAAAAGCAAATTTGTCCCTGTCCTTAACTAATTAAGCACTATGCCATGAAGGTGTATGGGGGAATGGGTGTGTAGATTAACATATTCTTGACATCAGCACTAGATGTAGGTGAGTGGTCACCTTCACGCCCTGGCCGCTTTACCCCCGGGGAAAGAACCCCCGGTACCCATTGGATAAGAGGCTGGGTGGGCCCGGGATCCAGTCTAGACGACGTGAAGAAGAGAAAAACCTTTCCCCTACCGGGACCCAAACTCCGTCCCCTCGGCCGTCTAGCCCATGGCCAGTGGCGTAATAATTTACAACATTCTGAGAACAGCAGGCCAGGTTTAACGTTTCTGTGGCTCTAATATGTGTCAAGATTTTACTTGCTACAGGAAACACGTATTATTTGAGATGAGGTTCTCACGGCAGGGAAAGTAGCCTAATATGGCCTTTGGTCTTTTAAGATTCATTACTGAGAACAATGAAGTGGCTGATGTGCGCAGATTGTATGATAGTATTATTAATCAAGTAACAAGTACAAGAGCGACCTCCGTAGTCTAGAGGTAACGTTCCCACCTCATGACTCGTAGTACGCGGGTTCAAATACCCGGCGGAGGTCGTCGAATTTTTAAGGGCGGAAAAATTCAGGGAACAAGTCCTCCGGGAGGGACTTTAAAAGCCGTGGGTCCCGTGTCGGAGCTTTACGGCACGTAAAAGAACCTCATGTCTCCAAAGGAGGCCACTGAGCAAAATTACGGACGTTTCCCGCCCAACAGTAGTCTCTAATACCTCTGGTAGATGGGGGAAGCATTATAGATACCTCTCAGCTAGTAGAGCCCGATCTCGCTGGCTGGGCGGGACTGATGGTAAGCAGCAGTACCGGTAGGATATAGAGACTGGTAGAATATCATAGAGGGAAGCACAATGGACCAAGACAGGTCTAAGTGCATTGGGAAACCCACCCTCTCCAATAACTAACTAACTAGCAAGTACAATGGAACGAAAACTAACTATTCGGAAGTATCACTTAATGAGCTAATCGCAAAATGAAAAAAGTGTCTCATCTTCCCATTTTAGGCCACCAAGGTTCCTACTACGGAGAGGTTATAATACTACATACTTCTGCTTCGCTGGACAAGCCAAACGTTCCAGAATCTCTTATTTTACAAACATCTAAAATTTAAAGTTTAAACTGTAATATAAATTATGGTAATTCTTCAAGAAAGGAAGGACAAAGTTTAGAACACTACGGCTATTTAGCACTAGAACGCGAAACAAGACAAGTTAACAATATATTATAACAAATTGTAAAAGAAGCACGCTATAAAGATTTGGTAGGTAGTCTCAATTGCACCAGATACTCACCAGATACGTACTCTGCTCAAAATATGTGTGCTCACATTAAGCAGAGAGCGCAGCGGACCCAGTCTTCGTATTCTGGGTTCTCTGAGAATGGTCTGTAGCAATAAAGACATGCAGCCCCCTCATTAACACTCTGAGATGAGCAATCATTTCTTCTTCTGAATCTTAATCGCTGCCGATTCTTAACAGAACATCTCTTTTCTGGCTTTACAGTTTCGAAGGTTTGCATTTCCTTGGCTTTTTCATATTTAACTCAGCTTTTGGCCTATACTCTACGTATTACTTGTTTTTCTGTATGTAAACTAATTTCCTTACAATTTCACACATACATCTTACATTTTTCTCATGAGATCTGCTTCGAAATCCCTTCTTGTTCACAGGCTTCTTCTTCTACCTCTTGGTGTGTTCTACTAGATTCTTGTACAGGGAATTTAATAAACCCTAGGGCTGAACCTACGCAAGGACTGTTCTCTTTTTACAGTTCTCACAAATTATAGGAAGACGAGAAATGTCGATGGCTGTAACTGGATTAATATTATCACGTGATAGTGACTACAGACGGCGTTTGGATTGGTAATTGATTTAATGACCACTTACAGATCACTATCCCTAATTCACTAAATATGCAGTTCACTACAACACGCACTAAGTCTTCTCAGTCTGTTGCGTCTTCATCAGTCGTTGCCTGACAACGGTTTCCAACTGCGGACCTACCCTTTCTTCTCGGTTCCCGAACTGTCTCCGTGCCTCAGCTACAGGACTCACCGCAGCAGTATTATAGCTGACTCACTCATTAACCAACTCGCTCCAACCAACTCTTCACTGAGTGACTGAACTTACAGTCGGAGTCAGAGTTACCCGTCAGTCAGTTCGACTTGGTGCTAAGCCCCTTCACGATCACGACCACAGATTTTTTTCAACTCAGCACTTGAGGTCATAATCCTTATGGAACATCTTCTCTTATGAGAGGATGCCTCTGTCCTTAATGACGTGTGAAGTGTACGTATCTCACATAGCTTAGGTTTACATGGTTATGGGGAATGCATTTTCTTCCCGAGAAACGGTCAGCCCGATAGAAGTGATAATTTGGAATAAAGAACCTCTCATGGGGTTTGAGATGTGTCACTGAGAGCAGAGCCACATTTATACAGAATGTCCCAGGAGGAAAGGTCAGTATTCTGGGAGGTCAAAATATTGGCCATTCTAAGCAAAAAAAAAAAGGGGGGGGGTAATGCACATGTGTCCTGTTCCGAACGGTTTCTGGCACAGAGTTATTTCACTGTGCAGTTCCAAAATTATTGATAAAGAAGAGATATTACGTACTGTTTCGAATACCAGTATTTATTGTTCAAGTGACAAAGATGGTACATAAAGAAAGCAGTCTTCTGGGACGTGACGCCGTGTAGATATTGTGTTAACCGACGTTCCTCCGAAATGGCAGTTAACATAATATCTACACGGCGTCACGTCCCAGAAGACTGCTTGCTTTCTTCATAGTCATCGCCGTGAAAACCTCAGATCTTACAAAGTTGGTACAGTTTACCTAGTATGATAAATTTTCGAAAATTCCACCGTAAACATCAATGCACTTTGAAACTAGTGTGACGTCATGGCGTGTTGCCAGTCTTTACAGTGTAGAGTGTCCTGAACAGTGAAATAGCTTATCTCAGAAACTCGGAATAGAACACACATACGTAGAGATTTTTTTTCTTTGCCTAGAATGACCGATATTATGACCTCCCAGAATACTGACCTTCCCTCCCCGGACACTCTGTATATATTTTTTTTATTGCTAGTGGGGTGGGGCTAAGTCCTTTGTACTGCGGCCACTTCTGGCCTATTGTACCAGCCCCAGATGATAGGTGAGGGTGATTGTGGAGCAATTGGTGGAATGGAGATTGACAGGGGAAACCGAAGTACTCGGAGAAAACCTGCCCCAGCGCCACTTTGTCCACCACAAATCCCACTTGACCAGACCCCGGAATCGAACCCGGGCCGCCGCGGTGGGAAGCCAGCGACTAACCGCTTGAGCTATGGCGCGGCCCTCACTCTGTACATAAGTCTTGCAGTTGTTTATTAGCCTCATAGCCAACCCAGTGCCATTTACTTTAAATGCTATGAGTGTGCGGCGGATTTTAACGTGTCACTGTTAGTCGAACTGGGAGCCCGTACTGACAGACCTGTTCTCTGAATTTCCTGTTGTGGTAAACGCTGCTATACGGGGGAACTCAAGGTTTCCCGTCCATCTGCGGTGCCTGTGGCTCCTGATGTTGAAAGTCTTGACTCAGTAGCAAGAAACGCTAGACTTCGCTAGACGAAACCACGTGGGCGACCTAGACAGATGGGAGAATTAAAATGCAGCGTAAAGAAATAGGAAATGAGAGTTTAGAAATAAAAACCTCAGGATACAAGCACATGGCAGAATCTCTTGGTAACGGTGATAGATCTTCAGGTTCTATGCCAGACGGAAAGATTTTTTCCAGCTAAGCGACTATCATCTTCTATGAAGTTATGGAGTTATTTAGTCGGTGAAAGCAGGGGTTCTCAAACTTTGTAATACCGGGACCCTCTAAAATAGTGACACCAACTTACGCGACGCCTCTTCTCTGCCGGTAAGCCAAAAGTATAGATTTGCCTATGTTGCAGGTCTCTTATCAGGCTGTACAGTGACAGCAAGAATTTAAGTTCGTTGACAGACTCGTAACATCTACAAGGGGGGGGGGAAATCCGTGGCCTATATTCAGCAAGCGAACTATACCGACCGAGCGACCGCCAATTTTTGCCGAAGTTAATGCCAACTTTACCGAATAGAGGTAGTCGCGTGGTCAGCGCAACGGATCCCCACGGCCGTTAATCTCGGTTTTCTAGACCGGAGCCGCTATTTCCTCGTAATATTTACGGTAAACTAAACATATTTTTGTACAGTCCCGACAGATTTAGCGAAAATTTTCGCCGGCTACAACTATATTTTCCGAAAGCACCTATGTGAAATCTTGTTGACTAGCCAAAATTGAACGTGGACACAACCATATTTTAAACAATTCTTGAGAATTCGGCAACCCCACTTTAATTGCGTCATTGTTCCGGGGATCGCGGCCCACAATTTGAGAAGTCAGTAAAAGGTAAAGCTATCCTTGTAACAGGGCGTGGAGGCCCATAGCTTTGTGAGACGTCGAGGCTCTCACATTTTCTAGGCAGACGGCTCACAGATGACGGTGAGGCTATCAGCCTTACGCGCCGGCCGCCCTTTAATCCCAAGAAGATTCCTGGTACTCATTTCTGTTAGAGGCTGTAAAAAAGTAAAAAGTAAAGCTATTCCTGTACCAGGCCATGAAGACCCATAGGGCTGTGAGACGTTGAGGGTCCTACATTATCTAGACAATCAGCTCAAAGATAGCGGTAAGGTTGTCAGCCTTACGCACCGGCCGCGCTTTACTCCCCAGGAAAATTATTTAATTAATTCCTGGTACTCATTTCTGTTAGAGGCTGAGTCGACCCCAGGGTCATAGTGTAGCTGCAAGGATTAGGTCAACTGAAAAAAATCCAATGACCTCATTGGGACTTG